ATTTAAATTTTAATGCTATTTAAACATGATTATAACAATGCAATGAAATTCTTTGATATAACCGCTTGCATAAAACAACCTGACAAACTTACGAAATTCAAGTAAATAGTATACTTTATTAATTTTTATACATCAATCAGATTTGTATTCATCTGATTATTAACTTACATCATATGTTGTTGATCCAAATTTTTCTTTTAAATACCATCTAAAACATAGACCTATTCCAATATGCACTATTATCATACTTGAATATAAAATCCATTTCGATATAATCGAACAAATAAATAAATCATTTCTAATAAACATTAGAATTCTTGAATTTTGAGAAAACTTTATTAAATAAAACGATATCATTTGTAAAATATAATCGATTGTATTTGTTGATATATAATTTATACATAATAACCATAAAAGTCCAGATATAATGTTAATTATCAAAATTTTTTTAAATAATAATAAAGATTGTACTAAATAAATATCATAAAGAAAATAAATATTTAATATAATAAAATAAATAAACATTAATGTGTGAATATTTATTGTTAAACATGATAGAAATATATTTAATGAACGATATGAATATAATTCATAATAATTATTATATGAATTATTTTTATTACTATAAATATATGAATTTAATGTTGAATTTTGAAAAGAATATTTTATTTGAAAATTTTTATTTTCTTGAAAATTTAAACGAAAATTAATAACAGAACCATAACGATATAATAAAGTAAAATAGTAAATTGGTATAATTGATGCATATAAATTTGAATTTATTTGAAATTCTAATACTGAGCGATTTTTTGTTGATAATTCATACCAATCAAAATTTTTATTTATATGATTTTCTAATGTTTTACTTAACCATTTTAATATATATTGATAATTATAATTCTTCATCGAATCAATATTATAAGAATAAATATTAATTGAACGTCGATTTATTGTTGGAACAAGTAAAATAAATCGTTCAGTATTTAATGTTCGACATAAATTAGAATATTCATTATTTGAACAACTTAATATTCCTGTTTGAATATTAAATAATGATAAACGACGTTCAATTATTTGCCATTTATCAGGAGAAAGATAAATGATCGATTGACGACGTTTTTCATTAGGTAGAAGATGTATAAACCTAGTTTTCAATAAGAAAAATATTCAATACAATCAATGATTATTTCTTTACCAAATATTATCTTTACAATCATCAACAAAATCAAGTAATTGTTTATATGATGAAAATATTGTTGTTTGCCGTTTCGTATGATCTTCAAGAGATTCAGACAATTCACTCTTTCGAACAGAACCTATAAAATAAAGCGAAAAAAATATTTAATATTTAATAATGAAATATATTTCTCGACTTTTTTTTTTTGTTAAAAAGACAAACAATCAAAAAGTTCGTATTTATTGCACATGGTCAAATTTTCAAATTGACAAGAATTTTAAGCGATTCATTTAGCTCGACAAACGCGTTATGGACTTGATGGATTATGAAAACATTGTTTGAATGCTTCTACAACTGTTTTTATCCTACAAGTATTCTTCTTTTGCTCAACAACGAAGATTTAATTTGATGTAACGTAACATGATAAAAAACATAGTATTCACGACTTCACGAACAGCTTTACATGACATGTTATATAAGTAGATGTTTTTGAAAATAAAAATAATGAAGTTTTAATTTGGTGAAGACAAGGTAATTCTATCTTCATAATCAAATTTATTATTTACATACACTTGACTATTAAATTCTTAGTATTTTCATTTTTTCATTAAAAGTATTCTTTAAAATGATATATTACAAGCCTATCAATATTTTTAGTGATTCATAATTACCAAACTAAAAAATGAATATTATTCAAAGATCACTATTAGTTTGAAGGACTTGTCAACTATATCGACATTCATATTATAACACAAAAAAACAATAGTTTTTCTTTGTACACGTTGATAACAAACGAAAAAACAAAGACAATACATGAAAAGACTATTTCACCAGCTGAAAAAGCAATGTCGACTCAAATATTATCTTTAGTCAATAAATGTCTGCAGCTCACTAATGTCAGTACCCATATTAAAATTAAGTACTTTCAAACAATAATATCATATTAACAGCAACAAAGAAATTCAAACTATTTCAAATTTTCACATTCTGAAAATTTTCTAATTATCAAGGAGTCTTCTCTTCTCTCCTACAGATAATATTCACCTGTCTGTTCAACCATTTTAATTAAATCATATTTTTCATTAATATTAATATATGTTATACCCCGTATATTAAGAATATGTTGTAACTGTTCAATATTTAATTGATTGATAGATACAATTTGTTGAGAAAATAAATTATGTGTTGATAAATGAAAATAATATTGATATAAATCATATACACGATTAATAAGAAAAAAAGAAATAAAATACAAACAAACGAATATATAACGACTAATCATCTAAAGCAAAAATTGAAAATAAAAACCAAAGACAAATTATGTTTTTTTCAAATGAATTTTATATACATTAGAAATATTTTTTCAGTAAAGAATAGAAAAAAAAAGAAAACAAACCAGGTCACAGAAAAGAACGAAAAGAAAAACAGACATTGGAGTGTAAGAGAAAGAGATTGTATGACAAATAAAATAATGTACAATCATATTTGTTGAGCAACCATTAAAAAAAATGAGAAACAAAAGATAACTTGATTTATCTTTCCTTTTTTTCTGAATTGTGCTTTTGTTGTGTTTTATTTTTTTCCAAAAAGAAATGACAAAATATAGAAATTATCAGAGATCAGAATCATCATACATCAATGTGTGAAATTAGAAGACTAGACAAAAAAAAACAAAAAAATAATAGCAAGAAGAATTTCACTGTGATCATGCAAAAACTTATTAACGTTAGGCACTTATGATTATTATTATTTTAATTTTTTTGTTGTTGTTATTGTCTATATATCATTCTCATTAGATTTGATTAAGATAATCTAGCGACAAGTAATAAATGTTTTCGTTGAATTTGTTGGTCATGTAATATAGACCATCGATCATCATCAATATTATATATTTGTATGATCCAATGATATTCTTTATTTGAAGATTTTTTATCTTGTGGTATTAATAAAGATTCTTTTTCTGTATCAGTTAGATTTGATAAACACACTAAACCACTTACAATAAGACGACGATCAACAAGTACACATTGACAATAGTTTACATATGAATAGGACATTGATTGTTTTAATAATATTTCATTGCGTACTAAATTAAAGCGATAGATTTGTTTTGATTGCCAATAAACAAGATACAGATCGTCATCATGTGTTACAAGTGAAAATCGACCAATATTATTATTACGTGGTAACATATAATAACCAGCTGATGTTAAACATGGATCATTTACAACAGCATTATCTGTCGATGGAGTCTACAAAAGAAATTAGGTAAGATAGTATTTATAAACAATTTTAGTAATTATTTGGATGAATGTGAAGATAATGGTTTGTTTTTTTGGAATTGAAGCTCACGTTTAGAATCTATTAGATGATGTTATATACTATGATTTGAATATAAATAATAAATTTTCATAAGCAACTCTTGCCATCTATTTCATGAAGATGAAACAGTGACAATGACCAATCTACTAATCTTACATTGCCATACAACTTTAAGTTTTATCATTACAAATCAGGAATCATAGAATATGTGTCGATCATTATAATCATGTTTGAAAATACATGTCTATGATAGATAAGTAACTTAGGTTGATTATTGCATTGTTAGAACAACGAAAGTTGAAAAAAATAATAAATATACATGAATTTCGACAGAAAAGCCTCAATCTTTAACATAAGTTAATAAAAGATATTGATTAATTGAAAAGCAAAATCATCGTAATGTGATACCATTGTCAAAATATCTTATTGTAAAACTACTCAAAGGAGTTTTCTTCAACATAATTTGATCAGAAAAATAGTTTTCATTTTGATTAAAAAGATTTTCTAACTTACTCTTGAAAGTTGTGTTTTATCTTTTTCTGTTGTTGAAACTGATGATGCTAGCTCATCATTAGATGTATTCATTTTAATAGTCGGTCCATTAGTAAATTCATCAGGATGTTGCATTCTCAATTTATATGTATGTAACATTTGTGTATCATTTTTATTTGATAATAATAACCATTGTCCCGTTGCAACTATCGGTTCACATTGATATGAAGGTACACTTTCACCAAGACATGTCCATGTTTCATTTACTAAATCAAACATATCAACTGAACGACATGGACTTGATGATGATGATGATGATGAGTTTGTGATACCAAAAAATAATAAAACGAAATTATGAAAAAGAACACATGTGTGTTGACCACGTGGATATGATAAACATATAGAAGACATTTGCCATTTAAGTGTTGAAAATGAAAATATCCAAATACGATCACTTAATTCACCAGAACGTAATTGTCCACCGAACAAATACAGTGTTGTATTTGTTGATACACATGATATATGAGAAAAAGGTTCTGGTAAACCACCAAGAAAACGCCAACGTTGTCGAAAAAAGTCATAAGCATGTAAAAGACACTGTGAAGATGATAAGCGACAGTCAGGTGACGGAGAACGATTATTATGATGATGGAAGTTTAAAGAATAATCACAATGATTTGAATCAAGATGACTTTGAATAGAAAAAAAAAAAAAAAAGAAATTATACACATAACGAAGAGAATAGATTATATAATAGACTAATACAATTTTCTCGACAGGAAACTATTAATTATTATTTGAATTGCGCATTACAAATTAGATCGATAGAGAATATTTTATTCTAATGGATGATCGAAAAGGAATTAGAGAAAATCTTTATTCATTTTTCAGACTTTTTAGCTTAATTTACGGGTCTCTAAAATGTCAGCTCATAACTTCTAAAACAATAATCCTACAGAAGTTTTAAATTCATATTCAGCAAGAACACAAAAATCTGATTCTAACCCAATGTTTTCAAATTTCTACAGACTTCTTACAAAGGCAAAAAAATGCATGAACATTGTATCTAATTACTTTTTCATCAAAAGTTAACAGATTATGAGCAAAAAAATATTATCATGATTTTTTTTTCAACTAGTAAAATCTTATAACAAGTAAAGATATTCTGAATCATCTAATGTAATCAAAAATGTACGGTATATTTTATTCAAATAATTAATAATTTGTAAAAAAAAAACATTTGGTGTGTGAATGGAATCATTTTTCAATCACACTTTGATAGAGTATTTTTTTTTCTTACATGCTTACAGGTAACAAAGCTCTTTATAGTCTTTTTTTTCAAGTTACTAAAAAAACTTATAAAATATCTTTTATGAATGCCGATTTGGAATGTTGAATTGAGACTTCTTATAAGATTTTGTTACCGAGTTAACAATAGACAACATAGAAATTGTAGAGAAAATTTCGTTTAAAGTTATCTAATTCATTGATCAAAGTATCTTCGCTAATTGTGAACCATAAGATTAAAACGTGCACTACATATTTGAGTGTACTCGATTATTTTAAATGGAATTATTCTCGATGATTTCTTTTTATTGGTTTAAAAGACTATGTATATACGATGAAAAATTTCTTATCAAATAAACAATTGAGACAATAATAGAATGCTTAGAAAACTAAAAAAAAAAAAACAATTTTGTTACAGTTTTTTTCGTGCTACTCATTATTAATGATGTAAACTTAAATTTTCATTCTAACAAAATTAAGTTTAATTGAATATTAATTTCTCTATAGTAAACAAATTTTAAAACATTTTCATATTAGACACAATAAAACGTATTTATCATTCGAAAAATATTCTTTGATTATGATAACTCTCATTTTTATGATTCACATAATAAAATATCATATTCCATAATTCTAATTAAACTTCTTCACTTTTTGTAGTAATACATATATATATATTTCTTTTTTCTTTCGTATTACCTTTAAACATTTCTTTGGAATTTTTTTAGTATTTACAGTTTAACATATCGTCCATGCAGAAAAAAAACATCAGTTTTTTAACCTTGAAAAACAACGATTATTCTTATTGTTTTTGTTTAAAGTACATTTGATATGTCTTTCATATTCATTCATTCGTAAACGATTTAGTTCTTAAGCTATTATTTAACTAAACAGAAATTTTCTTTTTTTTTTTTCTTCAATAAATATACTTTTGATTTAAGACATGATTTGTCATTGTTGCTGTTGTTGTTGCTGCATCATTAATTTGTAATTGAGTAGAAAATTTTTGATAAAATGCTACAATTGATTCATCAGGTTCTTTTGTATTCGTCAATTGTTCATTTTGATCTTGTTCATCATCATCATTTTCATCGTCACTCGAAGGTACTTCAATCACAATTAAATGATATCTGATCTGAGTACTTGGTCTGAACAATAAAAAAAGACACACACACATAACATGATTTATTCTGTATATATAAAGAGAGAAAAAGATATTGAAATACCTAATTGGACCCAATAAATCTGGAATAAAATTATTTGAATAAAAATCCTTCAATGTACGTAAACAAGCTGTATATTTTTGTACTAGTTTTTCATTACGCATTGAATTTGTAACAAAATCACTATCACTTATTGAATTTAACCGTATAAATTTAAATAAACTTTGAAAATATTGTTCACGTTCAATTGGACGATAATTAACCCATTGTACAATAGTTAAAAAAACATATTCTTCTTTTGGTATATCTAAATTATCATCAGATAAAACTTCCATTAATGTATGTTCATTTAAATGAACAAATAAATTTTTTTCATATAAACACATAAAATGATCAACTATATATTGTAATGTTGTACGACGTAGATTTTCTAATGAATATAATGTTGCTAATTGTTCTATTTGTATACAATTATATATATCCATTTGTAAATAAAGAAACTTAATAAGTAAATCAGTTAATTCTTTTATTGATAACATAACACTTGCATTAAACATTTCAAATAAATTATCATATGTTATATCTGTATGACCTGTATAAATAAATTCAAGTATTCGTTTCATTGTCCATGCTGTTATATCTTGTATGCGAACATTCCCTTCTGTTGATTCCCGAAAATTATATGAAAACATCGCACGAAAATATGGTGATGCGGCAGCTAATATTAAACGATGGCAAGCAAATGGGACACCATCAACATAAATAGTTACATCAGTAAATATATCTGATAGACGAAATTGATTTATTGTTGAAAATAATGACGATGGATAATCTAAACAATTTATTGAATGACGTGATTGATGATGTTGTTCAATTTGATTTGTTGTTAAAGGTATTGATATTGAAGTTGATGAATGTTTTCCGGGAGATGGTATACTTTTATTTTTTGGATTCGACATCTTAAGAAAAAATCAAAAACAAAACGAAAGAATATTTGAAATGTGTAGAATGTTTTTGTTTGAAATTCTGAAGCAAAGCAAAAAATTAGTCTAGTCAAATATAAGAAGAATATTACTATTGGTTGAAGTGATGCCATTTTTAACGAATTGATCAACAAGCTAATAGCGACATCAACATAATCATATGAAAGAGCGAACAATAGCGACAATGTGATTTTTGTTTATATTCATCGATAATAATAATTGTTCATAATCATATTTCCAACGGATAATTATTCTCTTTTTTATTTAATCATATTCTTTCTTTTCTTTAAGAAAAAAAAATGTCGTAATGTTTTTCTCATTATTCGATCTCCAGCTACGAATGATTATTTTGAAGCTTTTTTCATCAAAATAAAATCAAACGAAAACAAAGATTTTTATTCTATGAAAAATTCTTTCAATATAAATAAAATTAATTATTCTAACATTTTTTGTTTTTCGTTTTCAATCAGTTATTATAATAATAAAAAAATTCTTCCGTTTTCTCAGACCCATTGATTCATATTCTGTACAAAGAATGAGTCATAATAAAATTTGTTCTTTCTTTCTTATGTGTCTTGCATTCATTCATCGCCGTATTTTGCTGTTTAACAACGTATATAAATGAAGTAAAATGAATGCAACAAACTCATACTTACTTTCCTCTGATCGTCTCAGTGATCAATAATACTGAACATCCAGGACGAGGTTTTGGCATTGCACTTCGCCATAAACTAAATCCTGCTTTCGCTCCACATCGGGGCGAAGAGAGAGGTCAATTTGTTAGCAGCGTCTCTGCGTTCGCGCTCAGACCGTTTTATAAAATAAAAAGAAGAAAGAAAACTTGTTTATTAAATTGTGAAACATTGGTAAAAAATAAAAATGTGAAATCAAAAAAATAAATAGAAATCATTATTCTTCTTTGTCACTTGAACTCGGCAGGGATTTTATTTTATTGATAGAATTTTTCAATCATTTTTTGTTTGACATCATGACAACAAAACCAGTTGATAAACTAAATACAAAAAATGATATTAGATCTTCTTCACTTCCACCAGCTTTATATAAAATACAATATCCAAATTGTCGTTCAGGAATGTTTAGTCTTCGTGCACCATTTAAAAATTTTCATATAAATGACAATGAACAACAAATATCTGCCCGTAGTTCTACTCCTAATGTTGCACATCCAGAATATTTACATGTTGATCAACGTAAATTTTTCATTGTCATTTCTATTCATTCAAATTTCTCAATAGAATCTCTTTTAGTAAATCAACAAGAATTGTCTATCGCTCGTCACTCATTACAACGAGATGCTCAAGTTCAATGTTCATTTGGATCTGCTGATAGTCATGATGGAATAGATTTACAAAGACGAAAAATATTTGTAGCAGATTCATATGATAGTGAGTATTTTAGTCCTCGTTATCGTGTTCAATTACAATTACAACCAACACAACCAAATATTTATGAAGTATGGAATGTTGAAACTCCACCACCACGATCAATTCCAATAAATGAGCCAATTAAACGTCGACAACCATCAATACGTATTCGTTCACCACGTTTAGTTGATATAGAACCTTTGAGTGATGATGAATCTGATTATGATAATCATGTAGTCTATACTCAATGTCCACGAAGGACATATTTACCAGCAAATGTACGAATGGTATGTGTTAGACAAGACGCAAATACAATTTGTTATTAAAAAGCAAAAAAAAAAACTTTTTACGCAATATCAAATTTCATTAATGAGCAACAGTTGTTGTTATTGTTATTAAAGAAACAAAAAAAAACACTGAATATCTATCTAATAAGACACATAATTTATTACAAAAAAGTATCTAGTCCAATAGAATACATGACATTCTACCAATATCTTCAATATACAAACGACACATAAGGCGAGCATCAATTGATTCAATACCTACACATGTAAATTGAAGTCGATCATGATTCTAAATAATATTATTTTTGTTTGTTTTTAAACTTATTCTTTTACTTAAACTTACATTATAACGATTTGATTTAACACGAATCAGAAACATTTTTTCTTGTCCACATATACTCATTACTTTTTGATAAGCTTTATCTTCATGATCTTTTGATTTTCCATAAGGAAATTGTTCAGGTGGACAACCAAATAAGATTTCACTTTCCTTTTCAAAAAAACTAACCCATTGATAACCAGTTGAGTCTGATAAAAGAATCTAATAAATAAATAAATAAATATCTAGAATATTCTCTCTAAATAAAAAATCCAAGCTTACACTCGTCATATAAAGTAATTTAAAATCTTCATAATTTAAATCACATTTTGAACAATAATATGTTCCATCATTATTATCTTGTAATTTCTTTTTACAATCATAACGAGTACAAGCCTATAAATAAAAGTCTTTTTTTCTCTTTTCAAAATATAAAATATCATTATTTTACTTTGTAAACAGGATCATGTCGTACAAATGTACATACAGCTTTAATTCGAAATATTTCACCATTACCAGCTGATGGCATATTTAATTCATATTCAGCTACTTGATTAAATGTTTTCCATGAAACTAATTTAATTAGAATAAAAAAAAAAGGAAAATAAACAAAAAAACAATTTTTTTTTTACTATTTTCATGTTTATTTGATTGAATAGTAAGATCTATCATATCAATATTCATTCCTTCTTCAAGATACCATTTACGAAGTTCATGAGCTATTGGTAAATCAGGATCAATTTGTAATTGTGTACTAGCAAGTACAGATAATGTTCGATCTTTAGATACAGATAAAATTTTATTTTGTTTTTTTGTGTAATTATATTTATAAATACCTCCATTGAAATCTTTTACGCAAACACCTTTTAACATGATTACAGCTCGAGTAGCTGATGGTTGAAAATTTTCAGCCTGAAATATATTTTCAATCGAAAGTTTTCCTTTTGTTTTGTTTGAATTTTTACGTACTATTCGATACCATAGTGTAACAGGTATTTGACCAGTTCGATCAAGAATAAGAATATCACGTTTTGTATAATCTTTATTTTGTTTACTTTTTCCATGAATAATATCATTGATACTCATCACTATGCCAATAACATCTTAAAATTTAGAAATAAAAAAAAACAAACTAAAGAGAGTTTGAAAGATTCTTTAAAAAAACCAATAAATGAATTTGTTTCTATGTCTTGTATTTGATTAATTGAAATAAAATGTAAACGTTGCATTGGAATACTTGGTATATTATCTAGACATGGTTCAATAATTGTATCATTATTGAAGGTCATTTCAAACTCATTGTTTAGAGTATTGAATTGTTTATTAGCATATTTGATTTGAGCCTGTGTAATATAATAAATCTAAAATATCGAAATTATTTTAGTCCTTTTTTGATTGAATTTTTCAAAAGAAAAAAAAAATAACATTGCCAACGATAAGAATTGGTTCAAGTCGATTACAATCATTACCAAAACCAGTTGCACGTATTTCACTTGTTTCATCGATTAAACTACAACTAAATAATTGACCATCACCATTTGAATATGTACGAATAGGTGTTTTATTTGCAATTCGAACTCGAATTGTCCATCTATGGAAATATCTTTATGTTTTAAAAATACTAACAAACACATTTCATGTTACCTATTCTGAAAAGGATTAAGTACTTCAACTTTAAATAAACGATTATTTTTAATTGAATCAATATTTGTTATTGTTGTTATTGATGATGAAGAAGGAAGTACAGGCAGTTCATTTCTTATTGGAACTGTTGGATGTTTAAAAACTGAACCTAAACGACAGATAATATGTCATTATTTAATATAAATAGAATATTCATAAGAAATCCTCAAGTCTAAAATTTCATCAAGCATCGAACAACTTACATTAAATTAGATAGATCCTTCCTCTAAGTTCTTTTATTCATTAAATTTTGATCTATAGACATTCATAAAAAACACGACTGCTTTATCTTAGTTCTGTTGAGGAATAGAGCCCGTCGAATTGATCCCGAATCCGATCGAGTCTAAAAATTTTAGACTTAATGGGCTCTATTTAAAGAATAAAGTAACATTGAGATTCATTGATATTTACCAGTAACTTTTGGCTGTAGAACATCTTTATTTATTGATGTTGTTAAAGTATCATTTTCATTTAGATCAGCTGTCAATAATGAAACAGGATTTCCAATTCTATGTGTAACTATATCCAAAACAGTTATTTGAAGAATTTGTAAAATCATTCTATTAGAATGTAAAGATTTATTTCTCATAAATAATCTTCTATACTAATACTTTGCTGTTTGTCCTTTAAGATCACTACGTAAATAACGATCAAGTCGAATAATTGAATATTCTTGTAATTGATCATTTGTTACTAAATCATTTAATTGTACAGTTAAAACACAAGCTGAAAATATTTTGAAAACAAATGTTAAGTTCCTTTATTTGTAATCATTTGTTTTAATTACAAGGTAAAAAATGTTTGCCATCAGAAAGAATAAGTCGATAACGTTGAGCTTTTTTATATTGACTAGCTGTCATTGAAGATTCATTCAATGGTTTTGAATCCATTAATTTAATATTCTGAAATAAAATTTTTATTTTAATCAAAGAAAAAAAGTTTCTTTTTTTCGTCGATTATATTTTACCAGCACTTGTAAAATAGGTTGTTCACCACCACTACTGTTCTTAGCAAAGCGCTAGAAGAAACAAAAGTATATTAATGCGAGTATTCAAATTGAATATACCATTAAAGCACCAGTCGTTAATTTTTGCATGATGATTGTTTTGTTTTTTTTTGAAAATTTCGATAAGAGTTTGCTTTATAACAGCATTTAAAATGGAAATCTAAAACAAAATATTTTTATATATGTTACTTATACAAGCAATTTGTGCAAGAACCAAGCTCTTTGCAATTTTTAGAAAACCCAAAAAATTATATTCATATTTGTTTTTATTTAATGCAAACGAGAAACTGATTCTTCGCAAACCAATAAACGGTTAATTCATCTAGTGGTTTTGTCATCAGACGTATTTACAATAAAAGGACACAACATAAACACCATAGACTGAATAGATTCGTAGTTTTTTTGAAACTAAACTGATTCCATCTATGATAAAGGCCAGCATATGTAACAACCATAAATCTCACTATAATATTACATATAAATTTTAAGATCTACCATTTATAATGTAGATGTTTTTAACAAAGTGTACATGGTACACACTTTTTTCTAATCAAATTGTAAAAAAAAGAGTGTATTTTGGAAATATTAGATGATCTGTACATATAATTTTTATTTGGTAAATTTGATATTGGAAACATAGCATTATAACGGTTATATTAGTTTCGTACGAAATAAAATAAATCCACTAATAGAATATTATTGATATATTTAAAGTAATTTTTATTAGAAATTTCCAAATTGAATATATTTCAAAACTATGAAAATAGAAAATTAAATAATATTCAAAAGAAAATATTAGTTTTTCGATTAGAAAACAAAACTCTATTACCAACGCCATCTATGTCGAACATTATCATTGATTGAATGAGTTGTAAATGTGTTTTTACTGCAGGATTCTTTTCCTTCTTCTTTAAATACGGATTAGGTTTCTATTGAACAGTGTTTCTAATGGCAAGTGTACACAACGGAAACAAAATGTACAAACATTTGCAACTGTGAAAATACACGCTGCTGTACACTTTGTCTAAAAAGCAGAGTGTACAACGTACACTTTGTAGGAAAGATTTTAAATATATTTTTAGTTCAAAAACTTATGTTTAAACAATGAATAGAAAATAATCTATTTTTTTTATTTTTTCTACTATTCGTTAAATAGCATCATTTGTCTGAGTTCGTGATTTTTTCCTTCTCAGATTTATGTCAGTTTGTTCTCGGTACTTATGTGATAGTTGCAGAAAAACTTGAAAATTACAATATTCAATTTAGTTTTCTTCAAATTATACTGATGTTTATGATGATGAAGAAGACCAAGATAGTTTTGATAAGTCTTGTGCTTATTTAGGATTTAGAAAAAAAGAGTAAATCGATGTTCTCATGTCTATGTACTATTCTGATGTTGCACTTTTGTGTGGTCAGTCTTTCTAAATGAGTCACACGCATATTGCTTTTTCCTTGTTCTTTATTTGCTTATTTATTATTGATCTCTTTTTTTATTGAGTAAATCAGATATGAAAATGTTTTTAATATTTCTTTTTATTATAGAAAACTTCAACACCGTACATTTTGTACATTTAGCTTATGAAAACAAGTGTAAATGTACACTTTGCTCATTTAAAACAGCGTGTACTGTACATTTTATTTTAGATTTCCATTAGAAACACTGCTGTTGAACGATAAATATGAAACATTTCTTGGACTTTCCCGATGAAATTTTATGTAAAATATTTGAATATCTAAGTCCATTTGATGCACTTTATTCTTTCATCAATCTTAATATTCGTTTTAATCGTTTATTAATTCCATTTAAACAACAAATTGATTTAACTTACTTATCATATCAACAATTTATGAATTATGTCAATGTACTTTTACCTATAATAAGCAAAGATGAACCATTATATTTTATGAAATTAGGAAATACACGAACTCCTGGTCAGATAGAATTATTTAATACATTAATGCATGATAAAATTTATCGTAATTATTTTAATTATCTTGATAAAGTTCTTATTGAATCACCTCGTTTAAATGAATTAATTAATTTTGTTGAAAAATTTCTTTTATCTTTAACGAATTTAGTATCACTTTCAATTACAATTGATTATATTCGTGATGAAGATTTTCAAAAATGGACACAATTAATTGTTCATTCTGTTCTTTCAATTTCAACATTAGTCAAACTTTCAATTGAAATGCCTACTGGACTTGTTCTTTCACGTTTATCAGATACAATCATGTTCAATTCATTAATTGATGTGACATTAAATGTTACACTTGTTACAGATTTACTTATTCTTATACAACGTATTCCTAATGTAGAAAGTCTTTCAATACGTATTAGCTGGTGGACAAGTGGAGATCGAACTTTAGTGAAAATGCTTGATGAAATGAGTTTAAATAATGATCGAAAATCATTTTTAAATAATCTAAAAAGTTTTCATTTAACTATTGATTCAATACTGACATTTCAATTTGAACATCTTGAACAAGTGTTGTATAAAATTCTGAATAATGAAACAACCTATAGTTTTACCTTTATATTACGACATTGTTTAAATGGTAATAATGAATTAACACAATTAATTGATGGTCAACGATGGGAAAATGTATTAAAATCATATTTATCATTAAATCAATTTGATTTATTTATTCGAATAACTGGATGTCTTTCAGCTAAAGAAGAGACAGACAAAATAACTTCATTTAAATCAAAATATTTTCTTCAGAAGAAATGGTTTTTTTCTTATTTTAAATATTCATTAAGAGATAATATTATATTTTATTCAGTTCCATATAAAAATCAAGAATTATTTGATGTATCAATAAATAATCATGAAATATTTAATGATTTTCCAATTAATTATACATCAAATTTATTAATTGATCAAACAAATAATGAAGCATATCAATTTAATAACTCAACATTTTATTTCATATTAAAACATTTTCCTTCTCTTCAAGAATTACGTCTTATTCATTTTAATATGAATTTTTCGATAATTAGTCCAATTAATATTTCATCATTGCATACATTAAAAATTGAAAAAGATCGAAATATAAATTTATCTAATCTACTTGAATTACTACCTTTAATAAACACATTATTTATATCTTATTTTACTATTGATGATCAAAATAAATCATTAGAGTAAGTAAGACAAAAAAAAAGGTTTTTTGTTTCTATTTAAAAACTAAATTTTCTTTTCTAGTGTTACTAGTATTTATCAATATAATCGAATTAGTGAATTATCTTTATTTGATATTGCTGCAGATGATATTAATCAAGTTCCATTATTTTTAAGTCGATTTCCTAATTTACGTTTTCTTCATATTCATATATACAATCAACGTATGACTGATGAATATTTATTAATAAATTTGAATGAAATTATTCAAAAGTTTCATTCAATTATTTATTTGAAATTACAACTAGAAAAAGATGTTAATGTATCTGTGAATTGGAAAGAACAATGGAATGGTCGAGTGAAAATGTGTTTCACGGATTTCATCTTTGTTGGAGTACTTGTACATTTATGGTTTTAAACGGATATTACTTTTTTTCTTTTATATTATTTTTTTTTTGCTGTTAAACCATTGTTTTTTATTCTTGCAATAAAGAATTTCATTGATTCGATATAGTAATTAACCATCAACGATCGAAACAATAATGAGATATTAGATTGAAAATCAAATAATGGTATTAGTTTGAACATCAATTTTGAAAACTTTTCTGATTGAACGTACTATTCGAAGATGTAATTCTTGCAATCTATACAATTCATTATAATTTTTGTTATTTTTTGTTTCCTTCTTTTTCTGATATTTAGTTTTCTCTGTGTTCCTCGTCTCAGAACATTGATGTACATCTTTTATTGTAGATCTTTTCGTATAAAATATAATTGCTCAATGATACAGAAATGATCTCTATGGAGAATAATGTCTGTCGATTGTCTTTTGAGAAAACTAGGCAAATATTATTATCAAATAGTCAATGCTAATCAGTTGGAGGGCATTCGTGCATATAGAGTTGCATGTATTATTGTTAACTTCTAATTTCATCAATATTTTTAAAATAATTTCAATAAACACGCTCATCAGTGAGACCTTGATGAGAAAAAAATTATCAATATCATATTATATAATAATATTTTATTTAAAAGAAAAAGAATCTTGAATTTTACTTGTAGAATAATTTTGCTATTAGAATCTTGTAGAATTCTTTTAAATAAAAGATAACATATTTTATTTGAACTTTTTACTGCAAAAGTACAAAAAGATATCATACATTTTTTACATATTTATATATTTGAAACAATTCTCATTGACTTCTTTTTTTCAAGTTTTACGATAGTCGTCGACCTTAAATAATCTATAAAATGAAAATTTATTGTCATTCTTTTTTGGTCATTCCTCTGTTATTTATTTGTTTGACTTCTTACTTAATTAGTCATCAAAATTTAAGTAATATTTCATTATACATTCGCATAAAATATAATATACGACATGTAGTTTCTTTCCTGGAAACAAATCAATAAATTAATGTTGTCATTTGTTCAAGTGTAGCATATGATTATCAAAATTGAGTATAAATATTTTTTCTGTATTTTACCGTTTATTTAAACTAGATAAAGCTAGTGAACATAATTATTTATAGGTTTAATTTCAACACTTCAAAATAACATATCAACAATTGTATGAATCATCATATCTATGCTTTACAACATTATCAAATAATGTATAATATAGGCGAAAGAAAAAGCAAAATCTACAGGGGTGGATTATTAACTTGAAAGATGACGGGAAAAAACCATTTTCTTTTTCTCTCTTTGTATATAAATATCATAAATGAGACTGTTGTGTTGCTCGTTGTTGTTACGCATAAAATCATGCGAATCAATTCTTGTTGCTATTTTCATTGTTATTTTTGCGTTGTTGACTAGATGCTGATAGGATAGACGAAATAAAACGGATGTTTTATGCAAACTAACTATTGTTAAAATATAGACAAAAGCACAAAAAAAGCAAGGTAAGTGCTAAAATGCCCGATCAAATTATAATAATAGTCATAGAGGAAATATAAAATAACATTT